AATCGGACCAAAAACAGTAGATTGCGTTTTCATTGGATATGCTACAAACAGTAAAGCATGTCGGTTTTTGGTTCATAAATCCGATAATCCCGAGATTCATGTTAATACGGTAATGGAATCAGATAATGCTGAATTCTTTGAAAGCATCTATCTGTATAAAACTGAATGCGAGTCGTTAAGTGCAAGACCTAAACGACCTCGAGAAGAACCAAAGGAAAATACTCCAAGTATAGAAGATCCAAGGCGTAGCAAACGTCAAAGAACATCTACTTCCTTTGGACCAGATTTTGTGATATTCTTGCTTGAAAATGAGCCTCAAACTTTTAAAGCAGCTATGTCGTCTTCTGATTCAGCATTTTGGAAAGAGGCAGTCAATAGTGAGATTCAATCAATTTTGGATAACCATACATGGGAATTGGTTGATCTTCCTCCAGGAAATAAGCCTTTAGGTTCGAAATGGATCTTTAAATGGATAATTAAAGCTGATGGCACTATTGACAAATATAAGGCAAGACTTGTTGTCAAAAGTTATAGACAAAAGAAAGGCCTTGATTACTTTGACACTTACTCGCCAGTAACAAGGATAACATCTATTAAGGTGTTAGTGGCACTAGCGGCCGTGTATGGTCTTGAAATCCATCAAATGGATGTTAAAACAACTTTCCTAAATAGAGAATTGGAGGAAGAGATTTACATGGAACAACCTGAGGGTTTTGTGATTCCCGGTAAATAAAAGAAAGTGTGCAAACTTGTTAAGTCGCTTTATGGACTTAAACAAGCACCAAACAATGGCATGCAAAATTTGACCAAACAATGTAGGCAAATGGATTTAAAATCAACGAGTGTGACAAATGTGTTTACATTAAAAATACTCCAGGTCATGAAGTCATTGTTTTTTTATATGCTGATGACATGTTGATAATAAGCAAAAGTACGGCAAATATAAATGCTACAAAGTGCATGTTGGCTAGCAAATTCAACATGAAAGACTTAGCAGTTGCTGATGTGATCTTAGGAATCAGAATTCACAAGACTCCACAAGGTCTAGCATTATCACAGTCTCACTACATTGAAAAGGTACTTGACAAGTTCAAGTATTTGGATTTCAAAATTGCCAAGACTCCAATTGACGTGAGTTATGCACTTCAAAAGAATGAAGGTGAAAGTGACTCACAACTGGACTATGCAAGAGTATTGGGAAGTTTGATGTATATCATGAATTGTACGCGACCAGATATAGCATGTGCTATTAGCAAACTGAGTCGGTTTACAAGTAATCCCAACCAAATACATTAGATGGCAATGAAACGAGTTTTGGGGTATCTGAAACATATCCAGAATTATGCTTTGCATTATTACAAATATCCTTTTGTGATCGAGGGATATAGTGATGCAAATTGGATCACCGGATCATCTGAAGTTAAATCCACGAGTGGATATGTTTTCACAATTGGGGGTGGAGCAGTGTCTTGGAAATCATCCAAACAAACGTGCATCGCCCGTTCTACAATTGAATCTGAATTCATAGCTTTAGATAAGGCCGGTGAAGAAGCTGAATGGCTCCTGAATTTCTTGCAAGATATTCCATTTTGGCCACGACCACGACCGCGTCCATGGCCTCTGGCGGCCTCAGTAGGTGGCACTGGTGGTCGTCCATCACGTCCGGCAGCTCGTGTCCTCACCATCTGTGAGAGAATAGAATAATAAAGATTTTGTTCTCAGTTCAACAAAGCCGCACGACAAGAGTTTCAAGAATATGAAATTTTCCTAAAGGTTCGGCAGCCTCTCGAGGATAAGTACAGACGTCTCTGTACCGATCCACGGGACTCTACCAACCGGCTCATGACTCGCGAGACCAAGTAACCTAGGTTCTGATACCAACTTGTCACGACCCCAACCCCGGTCGTGATGGCGCCCAACACATTGCTAGGCAAGCCCGACCAATTCAATAACCTTGACCATTTATACAACTCATGAATTTATTTAACATGGATAAATTACTAAGTCACCATACTGAATATCTGAAATAAAGTAAAATATGCGAAATCCTAAGTAATAAAGTAATTAAACAGCCCGAAGAATCCGGTGTCACAAGTCTGAGCCTCTAATATACGAGTTTCAACCTACTACATAATAGTTTGAAGAAATGCGGAATAAAATAAATAGGATAGGTGGGAAGATCAGGACTGTGGACGTCATGCAGCTACCTTGATGCTCCCGGATATGATGCTCGACAGAGAAAGTCTCACTCAGCCTCAGTGGGTGCACCTGAATCTGCACACGAGGTGCAGAGAGTAAAGTGAGTACTTCCAACTCAGTGAGTAATAAACATAAATAAAGACTGAGAATAAGAAATCCTGAATAGGCACAAAGTAATTCTATAAATACAGCAACTTGAACCCAGCAACATAAAATTCAGTAAAACAATGAAAACAATTATAGAAATATCACAGCAGATAAGTAGATAAATGACAATTAATAGTATGCAATGCAACACATAGACCGGTACTCTCCAGTACCCGCTGCGGCGTGCAGCCCGCTCCATTTATTTATCGTCGACGACGCTCACTGGGGGTGTGCAGACTCCGGGAGGGGCCCCTTACTGCCCAAGCGCAATAATAAGCCATATCGTGGCATCAACTAGGCTCTCGGCCTCATATCAATATCAGTATCATACTGCTGCGACGTGCAGCCCGATCCCATGCTCAGTCCAAAATCACATAAGCCCCTCGGGCACAATCATATAGAAATATTCAGCCCAAACTTCATTAAAAATATTAATTAAGTTTCAAGTTTAAGAAAAAGTGGCTGAGTTTGCAAAACAGTATTAAATACCAGGACTGAGTTCAATGATATGTAAAAATGGTAAGAAACCAGTAATAATAATCCCTGAAGGATTTAATCAATTGGCACGAAGCCCAAACATAACAATTAGCTCAATTAAAATGATAATAAGTGAATTTCAGTCAAATGCGCAGTATATTCATCTACCGGGACGGACCAAGTCACAATCCCCAACGGTGCTCTACCCCACGCTCGCTACCCGGCGTGCAAGTCACCTCAATATAGCACTACGAAGTGCAAACACGGGGTTTCAAACCCTCAGAACAGCATTTACATCTATTACTCACCTCAAGCCGGCCAAAGTGCTAGCTCGCTATGCCCTTGCCTTTCGAATTGACCTCCTCGCGTACCGAATCTGATCAAAACCACAACGAATACATCACAATATTCTAATGGGACAATACCCAATCGAAAACAATCGAAAAATAGCTAAAATCACGAAATTAGCAAAAACCCGAGCCCCGGTCCCACATCTCGAAACTCAGAAATTTTTACAGAAAAGTGTTCTTCATCTTCTCCCGATTCCGTACATATAAAGAACACCAAAATCGGAGTCCGTTTGACCCCTCAAATCGACCCCTAAAGGTCTCATAATCTCAGGCCCCAAAATCTTATTTTTCTACTGTTTTTCATGAATTAAAGGCTGGGATTATGGTCTATAATCACCCATAAACGAGTTTTAATAATCAAATCACTTACCTCTGTGATACCCACTGATTTTGTCTCTTAAAAATCGCCTCAGAAGCTTCTTCCCGTTCAAAAATTGGAAGAAAACTCGACCTCCTCATTATAGGTATACTATTCACGCGTTTTACTGCTCCCAATGGATTCCTTGTGAAATTCTAATGAATTTAGGCTTTTGAATCACTCAATTTGACCTTATAATGAAGGAGATATGTAGGTTTTAAGATTTGCAAATAGTGCAGGTTTTTAATACGCCGTCAGGGGCAATTTCGTCATTAAACTGAAAATCTGGGCAACCTTGGTAAAATGGCCATAAAATCCTCATACGATGTCCAAATTCGACAATTCTTTTTGCTAAGGGTCCGTAATTACAATACGGATCTAATGCTTCATTCAAAACAGTAATCGGAGCTCATTTATTCAATATGATATCATTTATGCTTGAAGAAACGACGTCGAAGCATAAGAAAAACGAGCACAACGCAGCCCAAACCTATCTGAAACTCACCCGAGCTCCTCGGGACCGCATACAAACATACTAACACGTCACATATGATCATTCAAACTGAGTTGCACTCTCAAAACACCAAAACTAACATGAAAACACCAAATTTACATCGGATTCAAGCCTAAGTTTTTCTAAAACTTCCGAAACACGCATTTGATCAAAAACCCAACTAAATCACCTCCGAATAACCTGAAATTTTGCACACACATCCCAAATCACCTAACGAAGCTATAGCAACTCTCAGAATTCCATTCCGAACCTCGGATCAAAATCTCGCCTATCAACCGGAATTCGCCAAAATACTAACTTCGCCAATTCAAGCCTAATTCTACACCGGACCTCCAAAATCACTTCCGATCACACTCCTAAGTCATAAATCATCCCCCGAAGCTAACCGAATCATCGGAATCCATATCCGAGCCCTCTAACTCATAGGTCAACATCCGGTTGACTTTTCCAAAACAAGCCTTCCTTAAAGAGACTAAGTGTCTCATTTCCTTCCAAAAATCAACCCAATTCAACTCGTTCACATAAGACACTGATAATGAAGCATAATGAAGCAGGAAATAGGGAAAACAGAGCGGTTCTCATGAGACGACGGGTCGGGTCGTCACATATTGCAAAAAGGACAGGTATAAAGCAGCTTTAGAATTAATCGATTGCAAGAATCTAAGGGTCTTGAGGCTGATGTTTATACGTACAATATGTTTATAGATGATTTATGTAGGAATAATAGGAGTTCTAATGGTTATTTAGTATTGAGGAAGATGAGGAAGAGATTGATTGTTCCGAATCATATCACCTATAACACTCTTATTAATGGGTTTGTGAAAGAGGGTAAGATTGATGTTGCGATGAAGATTTTTCATGGGACGTTGAAGTTAAATCTTTCACCAAATGTATCACTTTCAATGCTTTGATTGATGGGCATTGTCGAGTAAGAAATCTTAAAGAGGCTCAAGAAATGCTGAATGAAATAGATGCAAGAGGTTTATGGCCCAATGAAGTTCGTTATGGGGCTCTCTTGAATGGTTTCTACAAGCATGGCGTATTGGTTTCTGCAAGAAATATCCTCAAGAAGATGAAGTTGGATAGAATATCTCCTAGTCATATTGCATATACAATGTTAATAGAAGGGATGTGCAAAATGGGGTCACTTGGAGAAGTTGTACCTTTACTTGAGGAAATGTTTGAGAGGAGTATATGTCTTGATGTTATTTCATACTCGGTGCTTCTAAATGGATTTTGTAAAGCTGGAATGCTAAATACAGCAATGGAGATATTAAGTAATATGTACAAGTTTGGAGTTTTTTTTTCCAAATAATGTGGTAGACTCTAATTTGATCTACAACTTTTGTAAGCAGCAAGATCCTCTAAAAGCATTCAGACTCTATGTAATGATGCAAAAATCAGGCCATAGTCCTAACACTTTCATATGCAACTCACTAATATCTTCTCTGTGTACATGTGGAAGAGTAAGAGAGGGAGAGGATCTCATACATCACATGCATAAGATTGGTCTTGTTCCTAGTTCTATTGCTTTTACTTCTATTATTGATTGCTATGGAAGTATAGATGAAGGGTTAAAATCACTATCCTGGTTTGACGAAATGATTAACTTGGGTAGTCAACCTAGCTTGTACACCAATGCAAGCTTACTAAAGGGAATATGCAGAGGAGGAAACCTTACAGAGGCACTTGGCTTCATATAGTATTTTATTACGAGGCTACTCGAGACTAGAAAAAAATATCTGAGTGCTCTAATTTTATCATTCACTTAGAAAAAAAGGTTTTGCACCAGATAAATTAACATGCCACTATGTGATTCGTGGACTCTGTGAGTTGAGCCTGCTGGATATTGGAGTTAAGTTTATGATAAAGAATATTGTGGGAGGAACAGTGGCAGATGAAAGTTTCATACTGGATTCCATTTGATTTACTACTTCAGAAAAGGTTTCTAACACTCTACTTGTGGATTTTCTCCTAACTGATTACATGTTCTTATATGATGACTCTGACTTGCTAAATTTTTGTTATCTCTAAGTTTTTCTGTCATATGTTCATATATGATGAACTGATATGATAGACATCTATTACTCTATTTTTTTAATTGTACTAGGTTGACATGAATACATTAAAATCTCAGACGTGTAAAATGGAATCAACTTCCAAGATTGTGAAGCCTGTGTACGTTCCACCTGGTATCTTAGCAAGGTGATGAGGGCAAAGCTTTAGAGCATTCGGATCTATAAGAGTAAATGTTGAACAGAGAGGTTCGATTAGCAAAAGTAAAATTTTTAGTGTATTAGCTTCTGATCAGAATAAGCTAACTCATAGTGATAGTTTTGCGCCTCCTGATTTTGATATGCTCCCCTTCCTCATGAGGAAGAAGTGATGCAAGGCAGTCAGAGATGCGAAATAAGTATCTTACTATTGTTATTGTATAAAAACTCTTTTATATATGACTTAAATTGAAATTTGCAGGGTCATGTGAATCTGAAAAGGCAAAAAAGGTGAGAGGAGCGAATAGGTCTAAAAAAGTTGCAGGACTCAAAGTTGGAGAAAAGTTGAGCGTTACTTTTTACCACAATCGAGTTGTTGGAAAGAATCATGTCTTATTTACGAGACACTTATGTATATTGGTTCGTGATCGTAATATGTGTCCATTGCACATACACTCATGGGTAGAAAACGAAGAATATAAGCCGCAACACATGCGAGAAGCTGTTACTGTAAGGATTTAAAGCATTACTTTATTAATTTTTATTCTCCATTTCTTCTTTCACAAATGAAAAGGAAATACTTGTGAGCTTACATCATCGCATTGAATAGTTGGTTAATTACAAAAACAAAATTGAGTTTTGGAAGTTCTTTCCAAATGATCTTTTTTGGGTAATTTGGCGTCATATGAGATCTCAGATTGTTTGAAGACAATCTTTTTCCTGTCTATGTAATACAAGGTGAACCTCCACATTTCTCTCCTTTTCAGTGTCTCTATGCTTCTTGGTTGTTATAAATAATTTTTACTTACCAACCAAATATGACTTGATGATCACCAGTGGGACAGAGCCTTGACCCTTTTCAATTGGGATAGAAAGTTTATCACCAAATTATGTCCTTTATTGCAAGAATATTACATGGCAGCAGTGAACTCCTCAGTTTGCTTGAACATAATATAATATCATCAAGGTTGGTACTTCATTATCTATAGTTCTATACATCTATCTCTACAATAACCTCAACCACCTCAGATCTTGATTAACAATATATGTTTAACAACTACAATATTACTCTAGTATGGTAAAATCATGCAGAATCAGATTTTTAATGTCTCATAAGTATCCAGTATGCCATGAACAAATTGTCATATAAATTAGCCAACTTTAATCATACTTCTTCTCTCCATATGACTTTGAAGTTTCTCTTTAGCATGCCTCGGTGCATTAAGAACTTCTCTCACAGCGGTGTCACCACTAACAACGGGATCACTATTTTCTTTTGGCTTTGGCAACTCTATAGGAACGAATGCCAAAGAGTTATTGACGACCTTTTGCTGATTTGTTTTATCTTCTCCATTTTTCCCTTGATCTTTGAGTGAAGATTTTGATCTAGAACAATAACATATTAAAAGTTAGACCAACTTTTGATGATATTACATAGTAATAAAGAATTGAACATATTTACAATGTAATAGCTTTTTGACAGACCAATATAGGGAAGCAATATGTGCAGCACACTGTGGTCTGAATCTGTCATGGCTTATCTATGACACTGTTGTGGATGATAAAGTTTCCACAATAGGACCAATCTTCCACTTTCATATCCAAAGTCACAGACTTAAGAATCTGCCCTCTCTTTCAATTAGAACTCGTATAATAACCTTTATAAGCTATTTATCATCTCTTTTGATACAAACAGGTGGTTAATTTTTTTTTTCTAGTTTACTGGATAAGTTCATGTTTGCTGATATTAAGTCTAAGTCATTTTGTGATGCTCTAAAAGATATGCCAAATGGGGTAGCAATGGGGTTGATAGCCCCGGTCTTGAAAACCGGTATAGTTTTAACAAAGAACTATCGAGGGTTCGAATACCTCTTTCTCCTTTTTTGCTAATTGAATAGATTTTTTTCTTTAGTGGTTTTGCCCATAGAAGACGCCTGCCTCAAAACCAGTCATCCGAGTGGGTCCCTGCGGCATGTGCCATATTTATGTTGCTTGCTTCCTTACACTAAGACCATTGCCACTGTCAAGGAGCACTGTTTAACATAAAAATTTAACATATGATTTCATAACTATTTATCAAAATCTTGTTGTATTAAGTGGCTAACCATATTTTTCGGTGTGTTCTCAATTTAGGAAAAAAAGTGCAAGAAACTCGATCAATAGGTCTAAGTTGAGTATGCCTCATCGTACGGGTAGTAACCCAATTAGAGAGATCATTTATGAATTAGTGAGTAAATCTTGCAATTCTGTTAAGAAATCACATCCTTGTTAAAAATATTTCTTTGACTTGTTTATTTTATTGTGAAGGGAGGTAAAGATGGCAATCCACCAGATGTGGATACTATCTTTTTAGACTCGTAAGAAGGATAGCAAGCTTGTTGAACCTGAAACCAATGTAAAATTTTATTTTACATCATTTGTTTACTGTGTTGCAGTAGTTTAATAAAAATTATCTTTCATTTTATAGGCTAAAATCCAAGAAGTGGTGCAATCTGAATCGTCTCTTACAAACATTAAGGTTGTAGAGAGGTGCTTTGGACCTCAACGCAAGAGTCATATAGTTGGATTTGGTGGTGGGATAACCGTTTAGGAGTTGAAAGGTGGTAACTCCTCGAAATCTACATTATTAGAGAAGTTGAATGCTACTAAAAAGGAAAATGAATCACGGATGCTTGGAAGGGCTAGAGAGTAAATATGATGTGTAAGACAGTAAATACGCGCAACTTGCAAGTGCAGTATTTGATCAGCCTTTATCACACATTAGCAGTAGATTGAATCATTTAACATGTTAGTAGATTGAAATCCTATTATAGTCTTTAATAAAATTATTGCAATGCTCATGTGGAAATTTTTGCAGCACACAGTAAAGGGTAATTAAACAAGCAAAGAAAATGTCCCAGCTCCTTTTCTGTTCATGCTCTTCCTCATTTTACCTTTACCAGACATAGATTAGTAAATGGAAGAATATAGCTTAGGGTAAATGCTTATATCATTATATAATTTGCTAGTATTAAGCTATTTTGGGATTAGAAGATCTCCACATCATTTGGTTATACTTGAAGGAGATTTTTCCTTGCTGATATGGGTGAAGGAATATAGCTTAGGCTAAATGCTTATTTCATGCATATAATTTGCTAGTATTACTAGGCTAGTCCAAATTCTTTTTGGTTGAATAGGAAATTCCAGACTAATGTGAAAGCCAGAAAGTAATACTAAAGCTTTTGGAATGAACACTTAATAGACAGAATTAGTTAACCTATAAACCAAAAATATACAAAGGACAGGGGATAATTAACAATTTAAAAGAGAAAAAGGTAACATTCGTTCTATTAAAAACATACATGAAAAGAAGAATATGTTTTTAATATTCTATCAAGAATATCTAGTGTTCGCAAAGAAAAAACTTTTCAGAAGAACCATTTACAAATTAAGAATAAAACTCGATAGCACACACCTGTTTATATTAACATCTCTGATGATAGAAAATAGGCTAAGAAAATTGTCCGAATGCATATGGAATTCTCTAAAAATGCTTATATCGAAAATTGTCCAAATGCATATGGAATTCTCTGAAAATGCTTATTATATAAGTATGCAGTTTGTAGAGAAGGTTGTTGCTGTTGGTTCTTCAGCCATATCGTACTACTCAATGAACCTTCTGTTGCAAATTGTGTGCCTGATTTTTCACTGTAGAGGTCTTAAGTTATTTGATGACTGTGGATTGAATTGCCTGGTTAAAATTGTGTGTGCAAATATTCAGACCATTTGATGACTTCAGGATCAGCTTCTGATGTATGCAAATATTCAGACCGTTTTGGATTCTTGACTACACCACAAAGGCTTCTCCATCGCCGTAGCATCTCATCCTCCGAGTGCTTCGGCTTCACTCCTCCAAAATTATCATTCAAATAGCTCTCCAATTTTGTTCTTTTTCATTCTCTGCTTATATGCTACAAATATAAAAAGTAATATATAGACAAACTGTCACCTACAAAAATGAAAGGCAGCACATTGAGAACAACAGTAACACGGTGAAAAAAGAAAAAAAAAGAAAAGTTAAATGGGCATAAGAATAAGTTTTCAAGACATTGTTACACGATTTGGGAGAAGAATATATTTGCAGAAACAAAATAGGCATTGTTATCAAAAAAATTGTGTATGAAACTTGTGTACAGGTCTTTTTATAATTTCCAACAATATGCTGCTCCCCATGAGAAGGAATTGTTATTCAAAGAAAGAACAGTTTTTTTTGCAATTGATCAATACTAGTCATCTGATCGTTGTGCTATTTCAATTTCTTGTTTATGGCCATTAGTTTATACTTTAATGGATCTATGTTTCTTCATTAGTTGTTTATTCTTTATTACTAAAGTGGCATACATTTCTTATGTTAACAGATCAAATATTTGAAGTCCGAAGAAGCTATCCTTGAAGAAAGTGTAGAGCAACTTCAAGTACAAGAGGTTTATATTTTGTTAGGAATGGTTTAAAGACGCTATACATATGTTGTAATTTTTTTTTCTCTTCTTAGGAATTATTAAAAATGATGTCATATGATTTAGATTGGTTTCCAGTAAATATGACACTTTAGTTCTTTGTATTGACAAAGAGACCAAGTATTTGGTTTATTTTAGAGTGTTGTTGGGTGTGTATGAAAGCATATAAATAATTATTTCTATACATTTAATTTAAATTTTTGTATTTACATTTAGTGTACAATTTTACATTAGCAAAGAAAAATGTGGTCATTGAAGCTCCTTAATGATAGGTTTCTCAAACAGATAAATGGGCATTAACAAAGGTAAATTTGGTTCATAAAAGTAATAGAAATAACGAAGGGAATATTGGTCGCTAAAAGCACTTCCAATGACTGAATTAGTTGTTGTTTAAAGACTTTTAACGACTGGATAACAATTTAACGAAGGGAGAATCTGGTCATTAAAAAGGATGTATAACGACCGCAAATTATGTCGTCGCTAAAGGATCTTTAACGACCGCATTGTAATCCGTTCGTTAACTTTTAATGTCGGAGCTTTTAACGACCGGTGATGATCGGATTTTTCTGGTCGTTATTAACTTATAACGACCGGATTTGGACTTTTAACGACCATATTTCCCTTCGCTAAAGGCCTATTTTCTTGTAGTGTTATAGACATGGGAGTTCTTGACTGGTGTCACGAACCAGAATCCTAACCTCGGGGTCGTGATGGCACCTAACATCCACTTGCTAGGCAAGGCGACGTGAGATAGTTAACTAGTCAAATCTTAATAGTTTAAAACAAAGTGATGACAAATAATGAGGGATAGGTACTCAAACTAATACAACACCAGCATAAATCATGTAATAACATCTACTCCCAAAGATCCGGAGCCACGAGTACACGAACTACTAGAAGTTCTACAAATAGAGTCTGAAATAAATGCAATTGTTTTGAATAAAATGAACAGTAAAAGAGGAAAGAGAAAGGGGACTTCAAGGTTTGCGGATGTCACCAGATCTACCTCAAGTCTCCGAATGCGATAATCCGCGCACCTCACGTACATCTAGGACTAGTACCAAAATATGCACAAGAAATGTAGAGTGTAGTATGAGTACAACCGACCCAATGTACTCCGTAAGTGTCGAGCCTAACCATGACGAGGTAAACGAGGCTATGACAGGACACTCACGTAATTAAACCTATACAAACATAGATATATGTACCAAATAGTAGCAAAATAGAGATTTCATATGTACAGTTGGGAGGGGACATGCGAAAGGGGGAAAAGATACGATAACTACCATAGGAAAGACAACACAAGACAATCAAATAAATAATCAACCAAGGAGGACAAATAACATACAATATGAAAATGGAACGGCATAACCCTTCGTGTTTTTACTCTCATCCTTACCAAGAAATGATGTCATAAGAGGAATGAAGTGGCACGGTGATGTAGCCCAAACTCACACCACAAATATAGGTAGCGAGGAGGTCGATGAAATAATAAAACCCAACGCAAGTCGGGGTCAATCCACAGGGAGTTAGAATTGGAATTAGGTATATATTTAGTATAATTGTATGATGTGCCTCAAATTACACTTCCACATTCTTGCTTGTTGTTTCTACTTCTACTTTAAGCTATTGATTTTATTTATAAAACTAGAAGACAATATTTTTGGTTTTGGTTGTTTTTCAAATGATAAAAGATCTTGAGTCGTGACTTCCACCTAGGTGGTTACCTAATGGGTTGTAAACTCTAGGACAAATTTGATTGGTCGGGGTTGTAATATAGCAATCACACGCAATTATCCACTCTATACTCTCGGTAGTTTGAGTAATTTTGCCCAATTTGGCTTTCTCAAAGTCCAAATGGGTATTGCACAAAACAAGTGATATATGCTCAAGTCGGGTCTTACTATCTCTAGATTTGACCCTTTAATTGGGGTTATCAATTTCTTGAGTTCACCCCACTTTCTTGTTAGCCAAGTTTTTCTAGACTTAGTCTCTCTTTCTCAAGTAGAGACTAAGTCAATCAGGCATGAATCAATGTTTGCAACCATTAATTCTTGAATTCAAGCATGAACTATGCTAAATATCACTAACCCAATCACAAACAAGCCCTAAATCAAACACCCATTAAGTACCCACACTAGGGTTGGGCCACAACCCTAGCTAGAAAATTAGCTACTTATGAAAAATGAAGAAGTTAAAGAAGAAGTTAGGATAGAATGCATAATAATTGATTAGGGAAAGAAAATCTAATGTTTAGAAGCTAATCTGGTATAATATTATTCAAAACAGTAAAGAAAAATGGCTTAGGTGCTCTACACTGATACAAGTTGACCTAAAAATGATAAAAATTCTATTTATATTAAGCTGAAAATATTTGACGAAATTGCCCTTGCAGAGGTTATGCGGCCGCACAATTATGTGTGCACTCCGCACGTTGAGCTTGACTGGTCAACTGGGCCTCCTGGGGTCGCAGAAAAGTGGGATGCGGCCGCACTTCATTTGATTGTGCGGACTGCACATTTCTGAGTGTGGCCGCACACTTGAACTTGGACCGTAACATGGCTCTCTAATTCTTCTCTTCTGCGGGCCGCATAATTGTGAGTGCGGCCGTACTTGTCATCCTGCGGCCGCACAATTATGGTGCGGTACGCATATTTTCAGCCTGCCCAAAAAACCAACTCTCTAAGAGCCTGTTTGGCCAAGCTTCTAGGAGGCCAAAAGTACTTTTTTTTTTGGCCAAAAAAGTACTTTTTAAAAAATTTAAGGTGTTTGGCCAAAATGAAAAAGTACTTCTAGCAGCAGCAGAACCACTTTTTCGGCTTCTGAGGAGAAGCTACAAAATCTAGCTTCTTCCAAAAAGCAGAAGCAGAAAGTTAATTTATTCAAGACAAAAATAACCTTACAATAAAATTATATTTTTCAAATTATCCCTCATTAATTTAATTTTTCTTTTTCTTTTCCTTTTCCTTTTTTTTTCCTGCTATACATTTATTCTCTTTTTTATTTTAATCAAATTTTTATTCTCTTTCTCCTATTCTTAAGAGTAGGTTTTAAATTTATATTGAATAATGTATTTTGACATATTTAAATTATCATGCAAATAATAAGTAATAACAAACACTCAATATTGTTGCTTTGGAATAACTATATTTATATAAATAAAAAATTTTAATTTATATGTTTACTTTAGGTTTTATATTTTAATTGAATTCTTTTCTACTAAATGTTTAAATTTATTTTTCTTTTCTAAATAATACTAATCGCAAATTGAACCTTTACTGTCCTTTTTCGTAATTTAATACTTAAAAGTGCTTTTTTAAAAGATTGGCCAAACACGATGAGCTTGCAAAAAGTAATACTCAAACGAATCGGCCAAACACAAACTACTTATTTTTGAGTAAAAGCGCTTTTCAAAATAAGTAGTTTTTGGCAGCTTGGCCAAACGGGCTCTAAATCTCCTCTTCTGCGGCAGCACAATAATTGTGCGGTATGCATACTCTGAAGGAAATCTGACAGTGCTCTTTCATTGTTTGCGGCCGCACACAGTATTGTGCGGTCCGCACTGTAGGCCTTTTTGCCTTGTTTTGGTCCTTGTCCAATTTCGACTCCTTTATGAGTTGATTTTGACTTCTTTGGCTCGGTTCTCAACATTCCTGCACGAAAGCACATTTCATTAGTTCTCGGGAATACCTTTAAGTATTTTTTAGCTAAAACGCAAGTAAAAGAGAGAAAATAAGCAGTCAAAATCCCTACTTATCAACTCCCCCAAACTTAAGTTTTTGCTTGTCCTCAAGCAATTAAAGCAATTTCTACCTCCCCTAGAAAAAGGGATATTTCAGCTGGCCTAAGGTGAATCAATCACATATCAATTGGGACCAACAATTACCCACAACACGTATGAATTATCAACAATGCAATGATTTGACTTTTTGAGTACAATAGTTCTAATGTGACACTAGAGCATCAAGAGTTGACTTTATTCATCAAGGAAGCTCGCTCTTTCATGCAGGTCATTGTGGATACCAAACTCCTCCTTCTTTACTCTCCGTTAGCAAATCTCACTTTAGAATGTAACACTCGAAGCAAGGATTGTGAAAGTTTGCTCATTACTCTCAAAAGAATGTCACAAGTACGGCTTTAAGTACCATATGTTTGCCCCTTATGTAAATCACCACTGATGTAAGCTCACTCAACTTGAAATCATGTAGGACTTTTTCGGGATGTATTGAAGGCTTTTTGGATCAAGGTAGGTATTGAAGAAATAGCACGGGTTCATCTTTCCTTAAGCACTCCATTTTCTTATTTTAGCTCATACTTTGTCGACTCTTTGAGTCAATCTCTCTTATCTCGTGGGAACTAGAGAGACGTAACGTCACTCTTTCTTGGACATGACATTCATTTTTCTCCTTTTCTATTTAATCCATGCCTTTCATCATTGTTTTCTTTAAATCCCTTCAACTTTCTACTTTATTCACTTTCTTTTTGTTCTTTCTTTCTTTTCTTTGCCTTCTCTTTTCTTCATTTCTTTCTCTTCTTTGTACCTTTATATCACTTTCAAACTCTTCTTCTCTCCCCAAACTTATGTTTTTGCCAATTGTTTCCCAAGAATGCTATGGAAAGATCGGGTGCTAAGAGAGGGTCATTAGAAAACGGATAAGGCTTGTAACGTGGTTATTGAAGGAAAATGGGCTTAGGATCAAACAGGTTGACTAGGGATATCACATTGGTAGTCTATGGAAGATTTCAAACTTCAAACTGGGTCAAGGAGAGCCTACAATTATTTCTCAAGCCAAGCTACGCTTAGAATCTCGCCTAGAAAAATATTCGAGGCAAGTTCTAGCCTATTAGCACGGGTACTTGGACTTGAAATTCAATACCTCACCTCTCACGCTACTGGATTGCTAAAGGGAACGGAGTTGAGGGCCCACAACAATCCTAGTTAAGATTGAGGATCACAAATGGCTCGACTGAACCACTCGACGTCTGTTTAAGTCAACACAAGAGTCAAAAGGTCACAACTAGAGCTATATTCTGGCAACAATTTGTTTTTAACCATAAAGTCGTAGGTAAATATGTTGGTACCAAGTAAAACATGCTTGAGACCCTTTTATTCATTACTACTATATTTGCCTAAACATAAAAGAAAACGGACTCAATCCCTTAAGAAGGTTGACATGCCATCCATCGTTGGGAAGAGCCACCCGGTTCACACAAAATTCACCTTTGGAAAGAACCGCGACATTAAAAAAATCAAAGGCTTATTGTTCACTCAAACGTAAAAAGAAGCTAACAAATCAAAAAGAAGCTACTAAGTAAATAAGAAGTTATACTACTAAGGAAAACAAACTAAAGAAGCTATGAAGTAAACTATGGAAAGTAAAACAAATAAATATACAAAACGAGGGGACAATAAATATATACATCAAGGGAAAGGGAGGAATATATACATAACCAAAGAGAAAAATAAAGATAAAAGAAAAAATAGTATAAGAGTTATTACAGGCCAAATGTCAATGTCAAATCAATCAAAATAGACCACCCCCCCCCCCCCCCGAATAAAAATGAGCATTGTCTCCAATGCTTATCAAAAATAAGATCAATGAAGGGCAGAGAGTTAAGAGAACTCCTTATGTGGTCTCAGTCTGCATGGCATCCCCAGCACCCTCGGCTCGGTCTCAAGGTTTAATTTAAAGTCACTCTCGTCTAGCTGTATCTCATCATCACTTCGCTGAGGGACAACAGAGTTGCTGAGCATCTGGAGCATCTCCTCAGCGGTGTGAGCAGTCGCAACCGGCTCCTCAGACTGGCCGGTTGCAATATGTGATGCCTCTAGTACTGCTGGTGCTTCCTGTGCGGCTGGGGCTGAAGGTGCTCCCTCCATAAGTAAGTCCAGTGGTAGATCTCCGGCAGATGCAATCTTGGTAACTTCTTTTCGTAGCCTATCCATCGACTTCTTTGATGCCTGAGACTTCCGCATTTTCTTTACCTGTTTGCCCAACTCCTCAATGACTCCCCCATGTGCCACCAAGGTCTCCATAATGGTCTTCTGGTTGTCCAGAATCTTCTTCAATGTTTCCTCCACTGACATAGGTACCTGTGGTGCTGCTAGGGCAGAAGACTGTGCTGCAACAACACTGGATATGTCAGACAGCTTTGAAGTAGCTGCCTGCATCTAGGTATTGAGACTCGCCAGTGTCTGGAAGACTCGCAGCGTAGTCTGTTGATAGGTGGATGAGGTTGGCACTGAGAATGGAGCTGGTGGTCTGGAAGAAGAAGGCGGTGGTATGTCTGCTGCCCCGGTGGAAGGTCCGACTGCTGTGGAAGGCATGGCATCTGTGGAATGCTCCGCAGCTGAATCAGTGACTACTATCATTGGTTCCTCAGACTGGCCAGCAGACATAGTTGCCTTACCCTTGAGTAAGAATTTAAGAAGTAAATATGGAAGCAATAACAATAAGAAATTGAACGACTAGAATTAAAGTGCAGAAAATAAAGGATATGGGAAAATTCAGGGAAAGAATTCCAAGAACGCAAGTTCTATAGCTTTGACAAGATCCAAGCAACAACGTTTTGATTTATTGAAGAAATCAAACGCCTTTACTTAAGAACAAATAAAAAACAATATATTCGGATCTTGACCGCTTTACGAGTAACTTGAGACGACAATTAATAACTAGTATTAATCGCCTTCTAAGAATACCACAAAGGAATCAATGATATCACAATAAAGAAATTATCTTACTACCTTGAATTATGAACTAATAAAGGTTGAATGATAAATCTAAAAGCATAAGTAACAAAGGTTCAAAAGAACTCTCAAAGTAAAATATTATTAATCAATAATGAAGTACCACAATGAATGAAAAGAACTCCTTTTGTAGGAGTAAAAAGTCCTTAAAACTAGGTAGGGTGGCTGCAAGACAAACCCTAACTTGGAGGCTAAGCTAAATACTAGAAAACCTAATAAAAGCTAATAAAATAAGAGGGTGGGCGGCCAAATCCCTTTGGGGCAGATTTGGGCCTTAAAACTACTTGGGCCATTGGTTTGGACTCCAATAGGGCTCCTTTTGAAAACTCCCTTTTGGACCTCTTTTAAGCTCATTTTAAGCTCTTCTGGGTGCTTTTTTGGTGGACATCAAGGGCTGATGTTGGGACCCAATCTTCCTCCTTTTGGACTTCAATTTGGGCCACCAAATAATTGTAAAACTTGGACAATTCATCTCCTTCGGGCTTATGCTCTTCCTCTATAATTAACAAATTCTTTATTTTCTATTGAAGTCTAGCAACCTTAGTCTGCAATTCTTTAGCTTGAGATCTTGTAAATGCCTTCTTGGAGCTTCCAAAACGCTATCCTTATCCTTGATGCTATCATTGGTTGAACCACATCCACCCTTTTGGCTCGTAAAACTGTCGAAGGACATTTGGGTTGTGAATATCCAAATACTTCGATAAGAACTGTCGCTCAAGAGTGTGCGATCTCTGGGGCCACCATTCTCAGAAACTGTTGAAGGCAGTTAAGCTGACAA